AAGAAACTGAGAGGGGAAGGGAAAGAAAGAACATTAACAGTCAAGATGGGAGTTAGCATTTTTTAAGAGGAAAAAGAAGTGTATCTAGTAAAGTTTTCAATCATTTCCTTATTCACAAGTCTTTAGTAGTTCCATACTGCCGGTGGGATAAAGCTGATGTTCATAGAGTGTGCTATGATCTGGTTTGAATCTTCTTCTCCCACACATACCTATGGTTTATTTATCGACTGTTCCTTGAACTTGTCATTGGTGTTTTGTCTTTGCCTTCTGAAGAAAATCATGTGTACCTTTCAAGACATAGTCTCAGGGACTAGTCTGAGAAGTTTTATAGAGATACTAGTTCTTTAACTTGGTCTCTGTTAGACTTACTTTACATTCCTTTACATTTTCTATACTACATTCCCAAGATCACAACAGTGATGGCAGAGGGACAGGTTAACTCAAGACGCTGACTTCTGCTCTAGCCAGTTATTTCTATGTGTTTTGTATACTTGTCTTGCTTTCTTTGTTTTGTTTTTGATACAGCATAGGATTTATACAATCACAGAAGTTTTTGCTATTAATCTCTCTTGTGCTATTTCTTTCAGCTACAAACGTTACACCTTCGCTATACCAAATTCTCCTGCCTTGTTTTTTCCTACACAATTGTTCATCTGAGGACTTCATTTGGTTTGAAGTGAGCATCTAGGATCACAAATAAAACAGAAGATGTCCAGCTTTTACTAAGAGCCTTCAGAGAATATTACCATGTTAGCGGCTATCCAATAAGAAGGACTTTGCTTTTTCATGATGAAAGGGAATGCTGAGTAAAACATTTCATGAAGGCAGTAGGACTGAAGTGTCTCTACTTCACATGTTTCAAAAAAAGCTTAGGAAAACTCAGGTATCCAGGAGCTAGCATGAAAAGCTTGCACATTTTATACAGAGTAGTAGAAATTGAGTTCTGGCAGCAACCTGAACTTCAGTTCAAATCTATCTATAGAGCTTGCCTCAATGTACGAAAGGAGAAATCCATGGGACTTCTACATTTAAACAGTTCACATCAAAGATGATCACAAAAAGAAGCCCAAGAAGATGAGTTATTATAGCTTAACCTCTACTTGGAAATTCCAAGGCCAAAACCAATAAATTGAATCTATCGTGTTAGTTGAATATCCATAAAAATACTTAAACATTCTTTCAACATTACCCTACTCCGAGGAACTAATCTTACTTTATTTTTAAATTAATTTATTTTTATTTGAAATGCATATCAGATTTCTGGAGAGAAAGAGAGACAGAGAGGAAGATCTTTCAGCTACCGATTCACTCTTTAAATGGCCGCAATGGCCGGAGATGAGTCAATCTGAAACCAAGAGCCTCTTGAGGTCTGCTATGCAAGTGCAGAGTCCTGGGACTTGGGCCTCTTTACAGCTTTCCTAGGCCATAAGCAGGGAATTGGACGGAAAGTGGAGCAGCCAGGACACAAACTGGTGCCCACATGGGATCCCAACATTGCAAGGTTAGGATTTAGCCACTGAGCCATCATGATGCCTGGCCCCAATCCTACTTAAACATGTAGGTTAAGACTATACTAAAGGGGGCCCGGCGGTGTGGCCTAGCACCCAAAGTCCTCACCTTGAACACTCCGGGATCCCATATGGGTGCCGGTTCTTATCCCAGCAGCTCCACTTCCCATCCAGCTTCCTGCCTGTGGCCTGGGAAAACAGTTGAGGACGGCCCAAAGCCTTGGGACCCTGCACCCGTGTGGGATACCTGGAAGAGGTTTCTGGATCCTGGCTTCGGATTGGCATAGCATCGGCTGTTGCGGTCACTTGGGGTGAATCATCGGATGGAAGATCTTCCTCTCTGTCTCTCCTCCTCTCTATACATCTGACTTTCCAATAAATACATAAATCTTAAAAATTTAGAAAAAAAAGAGTATACTAAAGGGAGACAGGCCAGGATTGTGACCACATGGGGTTCAGCTGTCACTTGCAATGCCAACAGCCCATATGAACACCAGTTCAAGTCCCAGCTGTTCCACTTTCAATCCAGCTCCCTGTTAATACACCTGGAAAAGCAATGAAGAATCACCCACTTACTTGGGCCATTGTACCCACATAGAAGACCTGGATGGAATTCAGGAGTCGCTTTGGTTTTGCCCAGCCCTGGCAGCTGTAGCTATTTAGAGAATGAATCAGTGAATGGAAGAATCTCTCTCTCTGTGCCTTTCAAATAAGGAAATAAATTTTTAAAATTAAATACATAAAACATGCTGGCCAAAAAAAACAAAGTGCTAGCTCAGCTGTTATAACTCACCTGAGTGCCATCTTAAGCAATAGTATTGTGTATTGATGTTACTATTTCTAGGTTTGTTGAAACTTACTTCAGGGACTCACTTTAGCTAGACCGCTCAAAGTGCATGTTGATTTTCGTCACCAACCCCCCCATCCTTTTTCTTTGTTGTTGCTATCAAGTATTTTAGAGGTATGGAAATAAAGTTTGCTCACGGATTCTCTATACCTCGGGTCACTTTGCCCCTCTTCCTGGAAACCATCTTTCTTTCTGCCTGTTGGGAATGTACCCATCTCTCAAAGACAGGCCCACATCTCATCCCCTCTCCTAAAGCCCTCTGGAACATCCAGACTATGCTGACTTCAGTCTCTAGTAAAGTTCAACACAATATTACATCTTAATAATTTATGCATTGCCTCATTATTTTTTCCCTAAGTCTTTTTTGTCCAACTACAAGAAATTATGTTTGTACAATACAGACATGTTTGTATATCAAACATGACCTAGCATAGCAATTCACCCTTGTAGCTATTCATTAAATATTTGTTAACTGGCTGGCATAATTTATCTTCATTTTATTATCTTTAATATTGTTTTTAAGATAAAACAAACTTACAGCTCCACACTTCATGAACACCATCCTGAGCTACTTGTAGCACATGGCATTATACCTCAATAAATATATCCTGGCACTTGAACTCATAATTTATGAAGATATAGTTCAGATGATACAAAATAAGAATTTTTAGAGATTATCAGTTAAAATAATATAAATAGTATAAAAATTCTCAGATCCCTAAGAATTTTGATGCAATCTTTCCTGTGATGTATAACATTTTAATAAACAACCTTCAACTATGCTGAGTTGTTAGATCCAAAGAAAATATCCATGATTATAACAAAATGAATTCAGAATTCTGAGGATTAACTTGTGTGTATTTTGACCCTTCAGTTTTACTTGTTGGGAATACATTCAGTGGAAACACTTAAAGATTCACAAAAATACCTAGCCACAAGCATATTTGTTTTAGTGTTGTAGATATAAACCAGTTATAATTAAATATTAACCTTTAAAATACTATAAATATTGTAATGAGTATATTTTAACAGTAAAATAGGTGACTATTCAATTAAGTTGTACATTATACAAGTAAGCCTTAAAATATTATATGAACTGGAATGAAAAATCTCAATATGTGAAAAATAAAGTTGAAATACAATTATATGTGTATATATATTTGTATATATACATATATTTTATTATATATTTATATATTTGTTATATAATATTTGCTATATATATATATATATATAAATATATATATTGAGATCGATTTATTTTTACTGGAAAGGCAGATCAAATTTCCAGAGAGGAGAGAGAGAAAAAAAGATCGCCCCCAAGTGTCTGCAATGGCTATAGCTGAGTCAATCCAAAGCAAGGAGCCAGAAGCTTCTTCTGGGTCTCCCATGTGGGTGCAGGGCCACAGGCTTTGGGTCATCCTCTGCTGCTTCCATAAAGCAGGGAGCTGATGGGAAGTGGAGCAGCTAGAACACGAACTGGCACCCATATGGGATCCTGGTATTTGCAAGGTGAGGATTTAGCCATTGAGCCATTGTGCTGAGCCCAAAATTATATTTCTAAAGTATTGTAAATATGTGCTTTAAATATTGACATTAATATCACATTGTGATTGAATTACAGATTTGAAGATGTACTACCTTTGTTGAAAGAATAGTGTTGTAAAGGTAATAAAATTCACTTGAGAGTGGGCATTTATCTTAGTAGGTTAAGAAATCTGGAACTAAAATTATAGTGCTTGGGTTCAATTCCTGGCTCAGGCTCTAAGACTTCAGCCTACCACCAAGGCAGATGCTAGAAGACAGCAGTGAGAACTCAAGTAATTGGATTCTTGTCACTCATAGGTTATAATCCTGGCTCCTAGCTCTGGTCTATGCCCAGCCTTGGCCACTGTGGTCATTCAGAGAGTGAATCAGAGAATGGGAGTTCTTATTCTCTCTCTCTCTCTCTCTCTCTCTCTCTCTCTCTCTCTCTCTCTGTCTTCCTCTTCCCCTCTTTCTCCTCTCCTCTGCTCCTATCTCTATCTTACTGCCTCTGAAATCAATATAAAATGTTTCAAAATTTTTATACTTAAATATTTATCCAGTACTCAGAATTGTCCATTAGAGTCATATAGTCTACAGACAAGAAATATATTGCTTGATATGTTTAGTTAATCACAAGATGCACTAAAGAAAGGCTCCCTTGTAGTAGACCCTTGGTCTAGTGGTTAAGGTGCTGCTTCCCATATTGGAGTGCCTGGATTCAATAACCTCCTCTGGATCATGATTCCAATTGCCTGCTAATGCACACTCTGGGAGGCAATTGTGATGGCTCAAAAAGTGTGGTTCCTTCCACCCATGCTAGACATCTGGATTGATTACCTGAATCCTAGCTTCAGATCTGGCCAGCCCGGACCATGGTGAGCATTTGGGGAATGCACCAGCAGGTGGGGCCTCTCTCTCTCCTTGTCTAATTGCCTCTTTCTCCCCGGTCTCTCTGCCTCTCACCCATATAAATAAAAACTTCTTTTAAAAACAAGGATCTCTTGAGTGTTATCTTCTTCAGAAAAGTGACTGAATATCTCAAGCAATGAGAGGAGACAGGGGAAGAACACTCTTCCCTAACACTGTTTGTGCTCATAGCTCTTACTTATTGTTTGTAGGTTCATGGGAAGTGTATGTGTAAGCACAACACAGCAGGCAGCCACTGCCAGCACTGTGCGCCATTATACAATGACCGGCCCTGGGAGGCAGCTGATGGCAGAACAGGGGCTCCTAAAGAGTGCAGAAGTAAGTAACAAGCCCACCAAACTCAAAAGCCTTCTTTGTAAAGTAAGCTGATCTGTGGACTCATGGGTGCTGCAAGTGGCGGGTGATAGATCCTGTAACTTCTGAAACAGCCCACATCACAGCACACGATGACTTTAACTCTTGTAAACAGTTACTCTTTGAGAAGATGTAAAGGGACTGTTCCGCCAAGAGGGTATTACCTATTTGTTTGGACACTTGATGGAACCTAAGTCCATGCCTTGAGACTCTGACATAATAAAAACATGAGGCGACCTGAGAGCAACTGTGGATTATAGTCTACAGTTAGACTTTAACAGCTGAGATATTGGATCATCATCAAGAAAATAGCCCACATCTTGAATTCTGTTCTCAAAACAACCCCACAAAGCAGGTGGTGTTAATCCCATTTGAAAGATCAGGAAACTGAGGCTCAGTAAACTTAAGTGACTTGCCAAAGTTTGTACATGGCACAGTCAGGATTTGATCTTGCATCTCCAAATTAGATACTATTTCCATAAGAGCATAATGCCTTTTCTTTTTTCTTCTAATACTTGAAAGGATGGGTTAGGTGTAAAATTAAAGCTGTAAATGCAGAGGGAAATTGTAATACCAGACTAATTTGGGGTTTAAGTCTGCAGATTAGACAGGAGCATCAAAGACACGGAAACATGCTCCATTTTTAAGCTTTCAATGTAGAATTTTCAAAAACACTCACACGCCTGCAGTGTTTCCCCTTAGAAGCTTGCGCTTCACAAGGATTTCAAGTCAGCTACTGTGGGTAAGGCTGTGCAAACTCTTCCCATACACAGTTTGGAATCATGCTGATTTATTTTTGTTTCTAGGAAATGTAAAGGATTTCCTCTGAGCATAAATCTTAAATTATCTTATAATATGCTTTTTTAAAGATATGAGGTTATCCAAATATCATAACACATCAAGGAAACAATGAAAAACAATAGCACAAACATTGATTTCAAGTGCATTTGACCTCCACGGAAAAGTCTGTGGATTCTTACTCCAAGTCATTCATCAAGAGAATCTCAAGAATTTCTCCTACATGCCTAGAGTGCCATTCTGGTTCTTTCCACGGAAACCAGTGCACATCTAAATACAGGAAGGAGCCCAGAGACTTGTCACCTGATGCTATTATTCACTGCTGGCTATGGAAATACCTTTGAGACATTGTTACATAAGAAATACTGTGGGCCTCTTCAAAAAAAACAACTGAGGTGTCTGTAAGAGATTTCCTTATATTGACAATAACAACAACAGTGGAGGAAGGATACTGCATGAGGGGCAAATCAATCCACCTGCCAAGTGGCTATGCCCTATCCACCAGAAATTTCCTTCCAGGTCCATTCATGGACATGACTTCAGGTCTGTGTTTACAGTATGAGTTGTCACTTTCACATAATGTCTGAATATTTCTGCTTTCCTCTGTAAGGTCAGGACCCCACAGTGATGACCCTTGTGGCATAATAGAATGAAAACAGAAGTGTCACTATCAAAATAGGGGGTTATGGGGAGCCACTTAAATAGTTTTTCAAGATACATATCAATCCAATAATATGCACAGTCTATTGATTCCCCTGCAGATCCTAAAACAGTTTTAAAAATAACCCACCTATAGTAAAAAAGTACAATGATCTGCAACAAACTGATAAAAACAAAAGCAACTTCTTGAAGGCAAGGGGATGCAAGGTAAACAGAGATGGTGAGGCTTGAGTGTTCAATGTATTCATTTCTATAAGGAAAGCATTAAGTCTCTTCCACCATTCAAAAACCAGAACTGAAATAAGAAATAATCCATCCACACTGTTATTTTTCTAAATTCCTAGATATGGCAGGGCCTATCGCTTTAATTACTTGTGCTCCTTGCCTGCTTCCTTTTTTCCAGCCTGCAAGTGCAACGGGCATGCTGATGCCTGCCACTTTGACATCAATGTGTGGGAGGCATCAGGGAACCAGAGCGGTGGCGTGTGCAACAACTGTCAGCACAACACAGAAGGCCAGCACTGCCAGCGCTGTAAGCCAGGCTTCTACCGTGACCTCCGGAGGCCCTTCTCTGCTCCGGATGCTTGCAAAGGTAATCCAACATTCAAAAAAAGGATGATGTGCGCAAAGGAGATGACTCTTCCTCACTCATTTCCCATTTTCTCTTTGCTGGCCCAAGAGAGGGGCCAGTCATGAAATGCCCAGACAATATTCTTACAGACATCAGTCCTGGTAAAAGGCAAGAGTGTTCAACCAGGTAAGTGACAAATTGTACAGTAGTCCTAAAAAAAATCTTGTTCACTCTTCATGAAGTAAAATTGTTTCCTGGAATAGTACAAACTAGATGGCTAACCAAAAGGGAGACTTTTTGAGGTGCTTAAGATGATCCTAAGACTACATTTAGGAGTAGGGCACAGACAAAAAATGGACTCAAATTAATGAAGTGATGAGTGATTGTCCACTCTTGAGTCATTAAATCACCACAGTGAACTTGAACACTTGAAATATATCAGGCTTTAATTTCACCATGAATTCTTTTTGGTTGGTACTACTCAAATGTTATAAAAACTGTGTATCCTGATTTATTACAAAATAATTTCATATTGTTCCCCCAAAATACTAAACTCTTTCCAGAATAGTTTTCACTTTCTTGGTTGGCATAATCCCAAAAAGGATTTTTTAAAAGACTAGAGTTTCCAAAGACCTATACAATCCATGTGACAACAGTTGCAACAAATGACCCTGAGGGGTGCAAGCAGAGCTTGGAGGGGACAGTCAATGGTAGACGGACTATTCATTTAATCACACAGGAATTTATGTGTCAATCAACTCAGAAATGGTTAGACAATAAAAGTCACTCTACACTATTCATGGAGACGGATGGTCATACCCTTCTGGTCCCCACCAAGGACTCCATGTTCCAGGCCAAAAACAGTGACAGGAAAGGAGCAATACAATGGAAAATAATCTTTGAAAACCTTGAGGGTATTTTTTTCTTAAAGGAAAAGCCAAGTTGATCTTTAAAAGTACATATTTAAAGCTACATTTAAAAGCTCCAAGAAACTTGCCAGGGCTTCCTTGCACCAGGCTTCATCTCTTCAAGAATGGAAGGTTACGTATGGCACCCTTGCCTTCACCATCAAGCTCCAAACTTGTATTTGTGTCACAACATTTTTTTTGAGAATTCTATTTTGTTCCTGCTCTTCATCTGTGCTCAGGCTCTGATTTTAATAGGTTTGAAACAGAGCTCTATTAAATACTCTCACTGCCACTTACAGCTGCATAGCGATTTGCAAAGTGAGCCAGCTGCAGCAGATGGAAGCTCTCGCCTTCTCTAGCTTCCCTTCTCTGTTCCTGCCTCTACTTGTCTCTCTGATGTTCCTTCAAATAAACAAATATTTTAAAAATAAAATTTGTATGTGCATATCCTCTATATGCACATATCCATCACCATTTTGATTCCTGCGAAAAATGTGTAACATTTAACACATTGTAGTCATGGAGTAGACTCTCAAGAAATGGAAACTAGCATTATAATAACTATTATTCAAAAAGCTAGAGGGTAGGATTATCCCACTACAGGTTGACTGTCACTGCTTTGAAAACATGCAATTTGAAGTGCACCATTTTCATAAAGGTGCTATATAGCAGTTACTCAAAACGGTATATTGTATAGTGTATCCACTATACTTATTCATTGTTCCTATCACATGCCCAGTACTAAAGGAAGAGCTCTGCCCTCAAGGAGCTTCTATTCCAGTAGAATACATGAATCAGCAGTATAGTAGAAACACTAATCAATAATAGGATTAATACATGAAATATGTAATATGTGAGATAATAATAAGGGCTAGTATTGCCAAAGAAAAAAATAATAAAACAAGTGAATTGGGATTCAGGATGTCAAGGGTTTGATCTAGGAAGAAGAAGGCAAGGTGGGTATCAAACAGGACTTTGAGAGTAGGCTTCATTATTGGAAAGGTGAAATAAGCAAAAGCTTGTAAGCACTCAGGAAACTGGTCCAATATTTAATTGGAGAAGAGCATTCGAGATAGAGGGTGTAGTAAGAACAAATGTCCAAAGACAGGAAAGTACTTAGCGAGTCAAAGGAAAAAGCCCGAAGTAAACATGGCTGCATCAGAATGGCACTGGAGGGACAGTAGTCCATGAGATTAGAGAAGTGACTGGGGACACACAGAAGGGCAACCGATGGCTGCCTCAAGGCCACTTAGGCCAGCCAGTTTTTACTAGCAGTGGAATGATGAGCCAGTCCAAGGTTTTAGAGCATTACATTGGCATGATCTCATATAGTCTGTTAAGACTCCGTTGGTATTGGACATACATTTAACTTCTGTTGAAATTTGCAAGTAAACCAGTGATTCTAAAAGCAAATCATCATCTGGGAATTGTGTTAGAAATGCAAATTCTCAGGCCCCCACGTAGAGATCAGCTAGATTGGAATCTAGATAGGCCCAGCAATCTGGGTATCAACAAATTCTTCAGGCACTTCAGATGCACAATAGTTGGAGAAATAGGAGTCTAAATGATGGCCCCAAAATTTTACATTGGTTAAAGAAAGTTTTTAAGAGTTCATTGAGCCTCTAGTATGTGATGATATAGCAAATAACTAGTCACTTTCATCTGAGTAAAAACTAAAAAACCAAGAAGAATACTGAAAGAAGTCTCTTGAAGATATATTAGGCTAGATTTTAGAGGAACTTGACTGCTAGCCCAAACATGTTGGTATTTATTTTCTAGGGGACTCAGAGCCATCGCAATAAGTTAATGAGGGACGTGTCATATACTTGCAATATATTTTAATGGTGTGTAATTTAAATAAATTTGAAGGCATTGCATCTTATTCACTGCCTTCCATTTTACTAGTCAATTTTTAAATTATTGGCTTTTTAAGACTTCAATCTACAAAGAATTGAAACAGCTTAATTAAATGCTAAATCTCACTAATTAAGAAAAAAAAAATAAAGAAGAAAGGATTCACTACCAGACTTGAAGCCAAAGTACATACCTTTGGTCTTTTGGGTTTTATTTTATTTGGGGATTTTGTTACTGTTTTATGCTCAAGCTATGGCTCATATACTCTCAATAAATCTTAAAAAGCTGCCAGCTCTGGCTTTTTAAATTCTCAAGCACTCATGGTTTTAGAGTTTTACAAAAGGAACATGAAAGCAGAGATTAGATGCAGTGTCTTTGTTAGTGGGCACTATTTCTTATAATGTGCATTTAGAGATTTGTATAGAGCAAGTTTTATAGGTCTTGGTCCCCCAAGTCCTATTAAAAAATAAAGAAAATATAAGAATATGGCTAAACAAGCTAGATATACAGCTTTTGGCTATTTTTTCAGACCATGGAAGTGTCTTAACATTCTTTTACAACCAATAAATTGGAGCGTTTTGCATCTTTTTTTTTTTTTAAAGGTATTCTTTCACTCAGCAAATTTTAGTGAGCACTACTATGTCTTTGAGATCCTAGTTTCTGAGAATTACAATTATGGGCATGAGAGACACCATCTTATCCAAAATTTCCATTTTAGATATGTGGAACAGGCAGATACTGGCATGCATGCACATGTACAAGTATGCTCAGTCTTGTGTTAGTTAGAGAGCGTGAACAGCAGGGAGATTGCATGGACTGCCAGGGGTGCCTTCTTCCTGGACATCACAGTGGGTGAGTCAGAGGAACTCACGTAGTCAGGTCTGCCCACAAGTAGCCATAGCCAGCAATAAACATCTGATTCCATGAAGTTGATGTTCATAGGTAGTATCTAAGCATTACAAGACAAATAGCACAAGACCATTGAATAAAAACTTCATCAAGGCCATGTTAAGACATTCTTTAAAAAAAATTTTGGGCCTATTTGCGCCGAAATAGCTCAGTTGGGAGAGTGTTAGACTGAAGAATCTTGGGCCTGGCACAATAGCATTGTGGTTAAAGTCCTCACCTTGCACACCCCGGGATCCCATATGGACACCGGTTCTGACCTGGGGGCCCTGCTTCCCATCCAGCTCCCTGCTTGTGACCTGGGAGGGCAGTCAAGGACAGCCCAAAGCCTTGGGTTCCTGCACCCGTGTGAAAGACCCTAAGGAGCTCCTGGCTCATCTCCAGTCATTGTGACCACTTGGGGAGTGAACCATCAGATGGAGGATCTTCCTCTCTGTCTCTTCTCTCTGTATACCCACCTTTCCAATAAAAATAAATAAATCTTTTTAAAATAAAGAATCTTAAAATAGAATAAGTTGATTGGTATGTAGTTGTCTGGATGAGTTTCTCAAATCCTGGCGTCATCATGGGAGTCACTGAGTTACTGAGAGACTTGAAGGTGGAAGCCACACTAAGAAGTCATAATGCCTGTCATGCCTAGTTAGCAAATCCTTAAGTGGGACTTAATGCACCAAGTGGGAAATTCTGCCAATAGCTGATACCCATTTGTATCTTCCAACACAGTTTTTAGGAGGCTGGTGCATTAGTTGGGAAGATCTGTATTTCCTCCTTTCTGGCTCTACATAGCCCTCAAGCTGCTGCATAGATTCCCTGCTGAATGTCTATCTCCTGCATTCACTTTAAGTCTCTCCCTGGCTGTATACGTGGCAAAGGCTTCTGTGTCCACTCCCCCAGGTCGGTTTCCTCTGGCCATGCCCTCTACAGTCTGGTCCTTCCCTTCCCTTTTCCAAGCCCGCAGTATATCCCAACACATGTTAACATATCCAGTTCTCTCTACGCACCAATACATGGCTTGACTGCCAATATTTTATACCATTTTCCTTATTATTGTTTAGCAAACTTTTCCTATCATTAATCCCTTCCTTTGCAGATGCAGTCTGTGTTACTCCTTCAGTTATTAACTCTGATAATAGATGTCATGATAAATAAGTGCCTTTAGTGGGACAGATTTCCTGCTAGGTGCTGACAGAGACACTGCTGTAGCTAGAAGTCTTCCCTTTCCTGCTGCCCATGTTTTTGAGAAAGGTAGTATCAAGAAAACAAGCTGATATTTTAAAAATTTAAACTATCTCAGTCTGTGGTTTCAGCAACAACATGTACAATGTTATTCAAAATAACAATTTTATGATATTT